AATCTTCCGAGAACATTCCTTCTTTAGCTCATATTCCAGGAATATTAAGTGAATACAATTATTGCAAAAGAAATTGAATATTCATTTGAGCTACGGCTTGGTATTTTACTAACGAGTTAACAAAATTTAAATTCTGCTTTTTGTGTCTAAGAATACAACAATATTTTAAATATTTACAAATAAAATATTAAATTGGAGATTTAATTGGAGCCTCACCAGTTGCCTAGCATTTGAAGATTGTTAAATATTAATTGTTTGTTGCGAAGTCTAACCCAGGCTGCATGGTTGGTTTTCGTAGTTTTCTAGGTTCTCTTTACAAAGTTCCTCTATGAAACCATCTTAACCAAATAGCTCCTATGTTCTTTCTATGTTCAAATAGTCAACTAACCTAGTTTAAGCGCGATTTTCAAGTAAAGTTACTAGCAAAACCCGAATACTCATTAAAAATCAGCCAATCGGGAGTAACATGAAAGATACGGCGCCAATAATTGAATTGCTGTTACGGTACGCTATTTCTAAACTTAGATGGTCTTTCCTTAATTAAACATTATAATGATTTGTAACTTCTACTAGAGCTGACGGTAAAGAATTGGAAGTGTAAATAAATAATATCTTGTGCAATCTTGATTAATATAAAATTAGAAATATTTGCATTCAGACAAAGGTTTTTTGAAAATATTTGCAATTTACTTTATAAGAAGGATTTATTAATAACTGTAATAATTACTTATTATATTACTGGGGGGGGGGGGGGGGGGGGGGGGGGGGGGGGGGGGGGGGGGGGGGGGGGGGGGGGGGGGGGGGGGGGACTGATGATTAGAATCAGTTCTTGACAATTACATTCTAAATTAGAATTTTAAGGATATAATGAAAATACGTTACGCAGAAAATACATTTATGATAAAAAATGAGTCGATTTTTTTATGTTTAAAAACTTCTTAAATTCATTTAATAAACATCGTACCCTCGTTGGTAATTCAATCCAGAATATTGGGTGTCGTTTATATAATTATTCTTACTTGTCCACAGAAGCTGCTGACTTATCTAGCCATTAAGTAGCTGCAGATCATTTTACATAACCATTGAACTTCCATTAATTCGGTCTCTAGAGGGTTGTATGTTTATATCATAATTTGGCTTTTATAAAAATGATTATTCTAAATCTTATGTTTCTATAAAAATATACTGTGCTTTAAAATATGGATGATAAGTATCAGCCGCTCTCTCAGCCACTTCATAAGCAACAGCTTGTTTAGAAATAAATTATGCAGTTAATGTCATAAAATATTTTCATAAAATTCAAATAAACATCAAACGAAAGTTCTCAGTTTTAGACAATTCGATTTAAACGAAGTTAAAGTAAAGTAGCAGACGATAAACGCCGAAGATAAAAATTTACTCTTACAAATATTTTTTTAAAAAAAAGGAAGAAAGAAAGAAATTTAAAAAAAAGGTAAAAATTTGAATATCATCTATAATTTAAAAAATAATAATTTTTCACACAGTATTAATAAATATTTATTACGCATCATTGTGGGAAAAATTTTACATAATTAATTCTCCGTAAAAGTTTATTTGAAATTTAAGGTTAAAAATAGTTTTGGCAATTCATTGTAACAAAAATCCATGAGCCACAGGCCCACCAGTGGCCGAGCGGTGGAGTCGCTGAACACTGGTAGTTCGGTCCGAGGTTCGAATCCCGCGAACGGGCTGGCTGCATGGGCGTTTTCGTGGTTTTCCCCACGTGTAACGTGTATACGAGCCAGTTTCCCTTCGAAAGTCCTCCACGAAGGCATCCCTCCCCTTAGGCAGATAGCCCTAGTGTGCTTGGCCGTAATTAAATAAACCAAACCAAATCAAAACCAAACCATAAACCACGTTTGGCGTTATTATCGCTAAAAAAAAAGATGCCAAATTTCAAAACGCGAAAATATATATCTTAGAAAATTTTGAATAAAAAAGTGTAATTTTTTGCAGGTATTCTTAGAAATACACCTACTTTAAGATAATGGTAAAAATTTATAGGTTATAATCAAATTTTTTTTTCGAAAATTTATAAAAATTATTTAAAAATACAAATTTTAAAAATAAAACACAAAAAATGGGTAAGTTTTATTTGGAATGAACCTAAATTTCGAAATGTGAAAGGAAAAATCAAAAATGTTTAATAAAAAAATAAAAAAAAAAAAAAAAAGAGATTAATAAATATTTGCCAAATTCAATTAACATTGAGGAGCTAAAATTTTGAGAGCTAATATTTTAAAAACTACTCGTACGATTTTTATAAAACTTGGTATTCTTGCGAGTCGCTAATTCCCTCATTCTAAAAGCGAATATCTGCACTCTTAGAAGAACGCCATTAACCCAAAGGATGTGATGGTTTATTTAATAGTACAGATGCAATGGGTAGCAGCTAACTTTATTATGAAGTGTTGAATGTATTGACCAGGACAAATTTGACCAAAATTTCTTTCCATATTTGGGAGAGAGAGGGAAAAAAAGATTTATTAAAATGATACTCATAGGCCAAAAGATTAGATTTTAATGTTGTTTGAACTGAGAGTAACTGATTCGTTAGCCCTGGACCGGTGCTAGAACTGGTGCGGCCGTTTCTGGCAGCAGAATGTTTTAGTACAGAAAGATATTATGAAATGTGCATTTCAAGTGGATTAGATCACACACCCTATTAAAAGCTTATATATTCGAGAGCGGAAATGATTTAATTACCTGGCTCTAAATTTTATGCATAATTTGGTATTAGAAGCAACATTTTAGTATTATTCAATTTGTAAACGAAGTAATAAGTCTTTGTAAATGTTTATGTAAAATATCTACATGTTCTTTTGTCCTGTAACAAAAGATTGACTTTACCTCTTCATTATCTTTTAATTTTGGAATGCAATATGAAATAAATAAATAAATGAATGAAAGAAAAAGAAATTAACAAAAAGTTATGGACACGAAATGACTACTGCTCAGAAGGCAAATATGTATCAATCACTAACTGAAGCACAAGCCTCAGAGATTTCAAAACTGTAATTAGCAGTTCTCTTGATCAACTATGTCTCACATTTAAGAAGTGGTGGTAAGGCGCCTCAGTGTAACCAGTTGGTGGTAGGGCATCATTTGTAACCAATTATACCAATACAAAAAAAGCAAAAAATCGTATCTGTTAAAGAACATGATGGCAGCTTTCTAAGTATACAGTAAAGGGGACATTACAGAAAGGAGGTAAATAAGTATGTATTATACAGTCAAAACTGAAAGATATTTACAGAAATAGTACTTAGATGTTACTTAGTGAAAAAAATATTAAAAGCAATTTATACGAAAACTATATTATTTAACATAAATTATCAGGTTTTCTAGTTGATTAAGCCAAAATACTGAATTTAAAATAAAATTTATGGAAATTTAACAGTATGTAAAATTGGAATCCCGTTTTGCAACAAATATTTCTTTAATTTGGTGCATGCTCATTTCTGACAGAAATGTAAGAATTTACCAAATCTTATCAATAGGACATCTGAATTTCATATAATTTACCAAACTGTTGCCCAAGCTTTGTAGAATTGCACGCTCTTCTGAAATTTCATTGTTCAAGTCTTGAAGGGTCCGGCGAGATATTTGTTGCACTGCAGTTGACCGGAATCCCACTTATAATCAGTCGGTTCAAGTTTGGTGAGTAAGCTGGCCAATACATTCGAGTGATATCTTCTGTTTCTAAGCGTTCCAAGACCACAGTTCTCCATGCAGGGGAGCACTGTCATCTGTTAGTAAAACATATGGACCAACAACACTCATAACAGTCTTGCACAGGATTGCAAGATACCATTAGCATATATGTGACCGATTACAATACTTCCATTAGAGATATGCAATTCAGTGAGGCTTTTTTTTTATTCCACTTCAAATCACGAAGCCGCTTCAATGGAAGGGATCTTTCATGACAAGAGAATCTAAATTGCATATTTATTGCTTCCTCCAGATAAAATACTTCTAGAATAACAGTCTCTTTTCTGGAATATTCCGTACACTCTCCCATTCCTCTTGGCCACTTTGAACATGACGACAACGCTACCTTAAACGGGCCCCTTTGGAACATGGAGTGAGTAAGTACAAGCCATTAGCTCGCGAAACTTTTATGCAGGAATAGGTCGGCTAATTCAAGTTATTGTGGCATTATGAAGATCTAAAACTAGCTCTCTTATAGTCACTTTACAAATTTTTAAGTCAACAGTGAGAGGGAACGGCTTTTGGATGAAGCTGGTGTTTTTGACCGCCTTTGTCCAAGCTATCTGCTAACACATTCACAGCTTAAGAAGCGTTCCCAGTTCTTGATATGACATTTCGATGACTATATGTTTATATTTCGAGGACTAGTGTTTGCACCTTTTCAAATTTTCCAATTAACCACCATTTTTTGTCCTTCACTTGAATGATACCTTTGAGTCATAACTAATGAACACTAAGCACAGTCAGAAATTATATTAACTTTTAACAACTCCTGCACACCATTAATTCCAACGCATATCCATTGCGCAATACGTATTCAGAAGCGTAATTTTCAAATTTTATACCCTAACCTATGCGCATGAATCCAATTTTGTGGTTCAGTTGTAGATATCTGACGCTAATAATTACACCCTTGGACAATGGTTAAAAGCGCTCAAAAGAGACTATAATTTTTTCAGATAACCTTTAACTTTGACATTGTGTATTGATGCTATAATTTTAATATTATCTAATTTATCAGTATAACTTCTTTTATTTATATAATTAGTCTTTTAATTCTTTTCAGTTCATATCAACTTTACGAAATTTTAGTTCATACTCTTCTTGCATAATGTGTATTTTAATACTCTTATTATTCTGGATACTGAAGATCTATTAGTATTATAATTCTCTGAATATATGTCTAAGAGCCCTAGGGCATATTTGCGCAATAATAATTAGTAATTATGCCTCTGAAGAAAACATATTAAAAAAAATATACTTACCCGCAGAAGAATGTATGTTGTTATACTACTCCATAATCCAACAACTATGATTCCTAGAACTTGTACGCCCAGTAAATAGAAGCCCCCTTTCTGAAATACTCCTGCTCGTCCTTTGCTTAACTTTAACACAGAATCTTTTTCAACAAAAAGGCCTACAGCTACCATTCCCCATACTGAGCCGGCTAAATGTACTGGTACAGCACCAACCGGATCATCGATCTTCAGTTTATCTAAAGCTGGCGTCAGAAAATTTGTCAAGAAGGAGCTGATTATCCCAATGAACAGAGCTTCCCATGGGCTGTATAAGACGCAACCAGCTGCAGTTCAAATAATGGTAGTGTAAATTATATACAGTGTAATGGGTTAAACATAGTGAAATCTTTGTTTAATCTTTATACAGTCGGCCTTTGAGATACTCGGAGTTAAGTGACACCAACACAGCGGAATGGCAAATTCGCATACAATTTTAATGTCTCAAAAACGTTAATTGTAAACAGTCTATTGTTGATCAGAAGTCATATCGGCAACATAAACAGTAAATTAGCACATATTTTGCATACTTAATATATTATTGGCTGTATTCTTATATTAGAGTAAGACAGAGAGAAGTTCTTTTAAGACAGGAAAACCACGAGGAAGAAAAAATGCACCTATAATATTGTTCCTTGCTCATCAATGACTTATGTTTATGTCGTCTATTTACTAGATTAATCGTACGTATCCCAATACCTACATCAAATATTATGTTAAAGCATTATGCTATGTGTATTATTAACATTAAAAATTAGAAAATGAAAATGTAATGTGAAATAATGAATTTTCATATCGAGATGCATAAACAAAGCAGCGAAATTACGATTATTTTCTGATAACAAGGAAAATGCACTAGTTTCCTAAAATTAAGAAAAAATCACAAAAAAAGCCATACCTCGTTTAAAAAAAAAAAAAAAAAAAAAAAAAAAGGCCGATCCGTATAAAATTTTAATACGTTGTCAAATAAGAATTGCTGAGTAAAAGTGTAGTATGCAAATTAGTGGCGCTGCGAGGGGCATAAAATTACATGCTTCAGAGCCAGCCTGTTAGACATCGCTGTGATGCTGAGATAGGAAATCTGGGATAGTCAATTTGTAACAGTGAAATCCAGGCATCATTTGCCCGAAGAACCGCGACGGAAAGCTATTCGGAGACTAAAGGCAGGACAAAGTCCGATAGATGTGGCCAGATGTCTCAATGTGAGTCCTTCTGTGGTTCATAGACTTTGGCAACAATTCCTAGCCACAGATTCGGCATCCAGAAGGTTCAGCCAAGGATGGTCAACCGTTGCGACGAGCGCTTATGACCGATATTTGTTGTTATGCTGTCGGAAGAACAGAACCTCAAATCCAACTCAGCTCAGATCCTCCTTTGCTGCAGCACCAGAAGGTTGGTGTCAACGTGAACTGTGCGTAGAAGGTTTCACGAAGGAGGTTTGTATACGAAGCGACCAAGCATTTGCGTACTGCTCACGCCACTTCATAGAAGAGAACATTTGAGGTGGGCACGTCAACATATCCATTGGATGGCTGATCAGTGGAGGGTTGTTCTCTTTATGGGTGAGTCCAGGTTTAGCCTCCAAAGCGATAGTAGGCGTTATTTGATTTGGAGAGAACTTGGAACCCATTATTATCCATCAAACATTCGTAAAAGAGATGCATACGGAGACGGCAGTGTGTGTGTTTGGGGTATTATCTTTTGCGCAGACTTTCGGATAGATGCATAGACCTCCTTATCTTGTCATGTGGAACCATGAATGCTCAGGTCTACAGGGATTTTATCTTTGATGCTTGTTCCAGGCAAACAGGTGACAATTTCCTGCTGCAGGACGACAACGCTAGACCGCACAGGACGACAACGCTCGCATCGTGGATGATTTTCTTAAGCAGCAAACAATTCAGCGCTTAAATGCCAGCTCGATTATAGGATCTGAATCCTATCGAGCATGTCTGGTATGATTCAGGAAGACGTGTAGATGCTCTCAGTCCTCTTTTTCAGACCAAGGCCATGCTTCCAACTGCTTTGCAAGCGCAATGGCTCTAACTTCCTGCGGAACTGATAGACTGCATAAATGTGCACATACGTCATAAATAACAAATCATTTCATATATTCATATGATATGGATATTACATTTGTACTTAAAAACCAATCAGTGACATCTATTATAAAATGCATAATATTAAAAGGCACTAAATATAAAGAATCATCGCACCTCGCTGTATGTGTTGCATTGCTTCTAGAGGAGATCATATTCCATATTGAAAGTAATTTTCCTATACCAAACTCTGGCACATTCGATCTGTTCATTTTATACATATGCTAATTTCTGTAACATTATAATTGTTTGGTAATTTCTTTTTATGCTATTTTATAGCTTAATATGTATTGTATATATAGGTAACTTTCTGAGTAATCGTCATTTTTGGGATTTTTTCTTAATTAATAAAACCAGTGTATGATCAGCATATTTGATTTAACGCAGCCGAGCCGATACGCTGACAAATCATCATAGAATTTTCATGAGGTACAAAACATTATTGCATTAAAAGATTTGAGTAACATATAAAGCATTTCATCTTTGGCGTCTCACTTTTCTCTTCTTTCTTAGAAGAAATTCCAGTATAACTCAAAGCACTGTCTAAGGAATTTAGCATATTCAAATACGATTTACCTTTACATTTCTCTCACTGCGAATGAAGCCATGTAAAATTTGCAAACATTTTGCTCTTGGAAAAATTATCATTTTTTATAGCCGATTTTACTTTATTTGGTAGCTGTATAGGATTAATTAATTAGTTTATAATAAATTTTGCGCATTCATAATATGTCTACGATTTAAACTTTTCTTTTATATTTATAAGCTAAGTAGTGTCCCCTCCCTACATACTGCTGTTAACTTCTAAAACAATTTACAGTTAATTAGTTAATAAAATAATCTTATGAGCGGACTTGCGTACCTCAAAGGCCAACTGCGCTTGAAAATATTTTAAATGAAATATATGCAAAAACAATTCCTACACTTCTTGAAATATACTGTCATCTTCATTAAAAAATACATTGGCTACATTTTAAAAACAGGTAAGCATAAAAGAAGCAATATTGATGTATTTTTAATATAAGCTGCCATTGTTTTATTAGCTTAAATATCAAAAGAAAAAATGCCTGTATTTGTATCGATAATTAACGTGTGAAGTAATATTTGTGACGATAATCAATTAATAAAGTCAAGCCTCATAAATTAAAATAAAATCTGCTTACTGCCTTTTGATATGACATGAAAAACAAACCAGATACTTTTTCAAATCGAACGTCTTGTATTTTGTTTGTCCTAATGTCAAAAAATTAATTTATGCATATTTATCAGTAATTAAGGCATGAACCTAAAATTAGCTCATTTCAATACTTAGAAATTTTAAAGGGCCCATTTTGGAATGAGCCATTGCTCAAACGTTAATCATTTTTGAATAGGTCTTTCATGCCCATTAACTAATTTTGAATTTAGCTTTTCTTCTTCCTCCTCCTTTGAATATCGTATATTAATGCATGTCCATATACCGTTTTAAAAGTAAAAGACATAATTTTTAACTTTTCTTTTTTCAAGTAATGCTTTTTTTATGTAAATACTATTCATAGAAGATTTTTAAATTTGTGCGACTTTATTTTTCATGAAGCTAAAAACGGCGACAGATGCATCATTGTTCGTTTATGTTCTTTTCAATCAGTTATGCCCCCAGTAATCAAGCACCGAACTTAAGCCTAATAATAAAAAGATTTCTTAGTTCTTTTATTTATTTATTTCTTATTTTTTGATATGGTTATTACGGATGCTGTTTTTGTAGTCATGCTGTTAAATATTATCTGCTAGATTCATCAGTTAAGGCAAAATAAGTTTTCCCTTTATTCTGTTCCAGAGTTGTCAACCCTTCCATAAAATCAAGAGACTCTAAATGTTTCATCGTATTTTCTCATCTTCTGATAAATCTGTAGATACTTCAGTTTTTAATTTATCTGAATTTAGATAATTTCTTTCAAAGCTTAATCGAGACGAATGTTGTTATTAAGTGTCAAGGAAAACGAAATGCTTCGAAGAAAATTTTGATAACAATTTCTTAAAAATGACTGCCATAAAATGTTATGTCTTAATGAAACTTACATTATGCAAAATTCACGTTTTCCCAAATTATCTTCCGAGTAATTTTTCTGACTATTTGTTTTTCGTTTGAAGTGTTTTATTGTGTAACAGAGATTTGTAGAACATTTCATGAAAATTAACGTTTAATGGTTGAATATGTGTTTTTAACTTTGCTTGAAATTTCTAAATGTGTGCATTGCTAATTTTATTCTCAAGATTATATGTGCACTAATTATTAATTTTACTTTCATGATATACACTACTTTGGCGTTCTTGTTTATATCCTCCTTCGATTTTCATCAAAATAACAGAAAAAGAAATGATTAAATTATTTAATATATCTTACATGCAAATTATAACCGAATTATTCATTTGACTTTAAATCAAATTTTTAACTGAGAGCTCTTTTGAAATCTCGTTTCTGCATAGCGAGAAAACAGTCTCGATTTTTTATTCTTCAAAGTTAGCAAAACTGTGTTATTCTAATGTAAAAATTATTAGTTAATGAAGAAGAGTGCTGTAAAAGTAAACAAGTATAACGTTTAATGACCAGTTTATTACTGCTTTTATTCATCTACTTTAAATATTTTCTGCTACTTAAAGCTTTTCTGCTAAAATATCGTTATGAAATGTTACAAGACATATGAACTATAACCACTTGCACATTTTCTTTGTGCTTAAGCCCTTTCTAGATTGAATATAGGGACTTAATTACCGAAGAAAGACTATCACCCAATTTAATATTTGGGAAATGTTCAATTAAAGGAAGATATTCAATAGTTCAATCTATTCATTCTTGGAACAATTAAGCTCCAGAAGTTAAGCTATTATATGCATTAATAACTTTTTTATAATTGATGGATTAATCCCTAGTTTTGTGACGTAACAGTTCACCATAAACTATAATGATATTTCATCGGCTATACAAAGCATCGTAAATATTTCTAAGAGAAGAAAAGGTATTATATTGGTATCATTTGTGGGCAAGAATCAACACAGAAATATCAACAAAAACGACAAGTGTCAGGAAATCCAGAGTAATTAAGGTATATGGCTCTAGTTAACGCATCCTCATGAAATCTGAGTCTAAAATGTCTAAAAATTTTATGCTTTTTATTTTTTTCATATATATGAATTGTTTTGATAACACATACGGACAGCAGATACAAATGAAATTGCTAACCTGTTATGGCCACCAAAGATGATAATATTCCATTTATGAGATTTGATATTAGAAACCTTTTCTTGAAGTAAATGGAACTGCAAAAACAGAGGGGAAAAAAATCACAGTTTCAAATCACGCCATTTAACTAATTTTAATATTAAATGCGAATACATACCTAAATATTAATGAGTTTATTCCACCACCCACTGATGCATTTATAGTTGTGATAGCGGATCTGAAAAAAATTAAGGTATAAAATTAATCTTGTTATTGAATATAAATACCAGACCTCAGTTTTTCTTAATCTGCTTTCCATTAACTGTAAGAAACTTAACTAGATAACATTCTCCGGTTTCTATTATCTCCTTTATCCTAAGGTACAAATAGATAAAACTGTAAAAGCTAGTAACTCTTCTGCAAGACAGTACAAGATTACTGCATGGTATTATTTCTATGTTCCCTTTAAAAATTTTCTACTGTGGCTTTTCTCCTAAGATAGCCTTTGGTTTCTTTGCCGTTAGTAAATTACTTAACCTTTACACAATTTCACTTTGCAGTTAAAATTCTACTTAAGTTAGATAATATTAAAATTTAAAATAACACACTAGTAATACTAATTTTTACATGAGGTGCCTCTATTTAGCATTAGTTTATTTATATACTAAGAAATTTATTTTATCGAAAACTTTTGACGTTCACCTGAGTTCGAACCCAAGTGAATAGACTATACTTCACGACAAGCTAACTTGAGAACACATACAAGGCTAGAACGACCTTTTCACGGCTTTTCACCCTATTCTTCAAGTTATCCATACGCACCAAACTTCCCGCGGAAATTCAATTCCTCCAATTCACTATACATTTGGCGACTCTTGCCAAATCCAGCGTATTTTTAAGTAACAATCTTTTTATGCGATAAAGCTGCAGTTGAAATTGTTAGTTCATTGTAGTGTAAAATGCAGGGCATGTTATTGTCTTAATTTATATGAAATTTTTCACTATAATCTAAATATGACGCAAACGAATTTGATGACATTTAAAGAATCATTACTTAAAATTTGAAACGGAAGAGCTAACAATGTATTCCTTGTAGTTTAGGTTAAATTTTTCTCCCAAGACCGTTCGCTTAGTTAAAAGTAAAATATATAAATTTAGAAAATCTGGTAGAAGCTATTTTCTTTTAATTTTTAAACGTGAACCAGAGAAAAATGCCGATTTTTATTTTCTGAAGATGTTAATTTGATTTAAATTTCCGATTATTTAAAAACTCTGATTATATTTTGTAACAGACATCAATAAAAATTATATCCGGCATTGTCTCCTAAGACACACACTCTTCCAGTCATGCCCAGACAATCACTCTCCTATAGTACGTCTTATCCTTTCTTTTTTATTACTGTTTAAAATCAAAAATAAAATAAATAAAAATACTGGAAACAGATCTTCGGATTACAGTCTAACGACTAAAGAGTTTACTATTAAAAATTTTAAGATATTAGAAAAATATTAAAAACTTTAAAATTGTAAAAACAAACATAAAAGTTAAGACGTAAATGATCTTATACCTATTAGTTTGTACCAATCAGTTAAACATATAAACATTAAAAATTGTCTTTTGTTGGTTATAACAAAGCGCAAATGTCCATATGAAAAAAAAGTATTAAAAAATTAAACTGTAATTTAATAACTAAGCTCTGCATTGAAGTATCTCAGTGTATTATATGTGGCGTTCCGACAGATACTTCAACTTCTATTCATGAGATGGCCAGTTCTTAATCGGAGCAGCAAAGCGACGTCATTACTCACTCAGACTTCTCGCAAGACAACTGTACGCGACGGTAGCATGAACTGTGTTCCGAGCTCTGCGTTGATGTCTGCAATGTAATTTAAATTGTAATTTAGTACTTAATATATTCTTTTGTTATAGGAGATTGTCTACTCTTATTTTCTTTAATTATATCATGCATTAAGCACACACGACCACCAAAAGTGGTGACCTTTTTGACTGAGCACGCTACTGACAATGGATTTTCAACGACCCTAAGCCACGTGCATCTGCAAGGCATTCTTGAAGAACTGACTAAAAAAAAATAACAACGAATATGGACATTAAAAGTATGCTACAACGTATCCCCTTCAATTATTTCTTAGAAGTAATTGATGTATATATTTCTTGTGTTTTTTTTAAAGTCGTGCATATCATCGCAAGTGAGCTTCAGCAAATCATCAATGTGATCTTGTTCCGATTCCGCTGACTTCGACCAGTCGTGCAATCAATTCTTCGATCATTCAACTTTTGTGACAAATGTGATACAACATAGTGATTTTCGCTAAATGTTGCTACATCAGTAATATTTTCTGCAAACGTGCTATGGCAAAAATTCTTCCCTCAGTGTTTCGAAAGTAGTGAATTTTTTTCCCATGTGCTACAGCAAGTGATTTCCTTTTCCTTCGGTAATAGTGCCTCAGCAGTGTGATAGTTGTTGATTTTTGTGTGTGCGTGCAATACAAAAGTGAACGCATAATTTTTTTTTTCTCAAATAGGGTTTTCCTTTTCAAATGCATTTCGGTAAAATATTATTTGTGTGTGTAATTGCTGACCCTGTATTATTTGTGTGTGTATCGTTACGTAAATTTTTCTGCATGGTAAAAGATTAATTGTTTCATGGTAAAATATCAATAGTGAATCCTCATGCTACAATATTTGTGCTGTTAAGTGTTTATTAATTAAAGTGAAAATTATCTATCAGTATGCCCGACGATATTCCACCAGAGCCACAAATCACACGCGTTGCAGTGAAGCCACCGCCTTTCTGGAAAAATAATCCTTCATTGTTGTTGGGAATGGCATCACTAAGCCAACGAATCAAAAGCCAGATAGAGACTGACGTCATGGGACGCCAGAGGAAAACGAACAGTTCCGGTTTAGTTAGCTAAGAACGATGTTTGCATGATGTGGCTAGATAGATATTGTAGCTAGATAAATATTTATATTCTTTTAACTTGTCTTTATGTGTAAATAAATCTTTTTTGCTTAAGTTTAAATGAAGTACTCCATTTATGACAAGATAGCTGTTAATTCATCGGGTAGATGACTTACGAATCCCTTCTGAGCTAGCCATTGTTCGAACGTAACGCCTTACGTAACATATAACATTGTGGCGCCCAAGACGTGGGGCGCGATAACAGCTAAAAATAAATTGAAAATGGAGCTTACACAGCTGAAAACCGAAAGAAAATGTCTAAGAACTTCCTTTACCACATGTGCAAACAAAAATTGATGCAGAACTGAAATCAGATATTCCTGATTTGAAGCTACTTTCGATTCTGGAACAACAGCTTAGAGACAAGTTTAATCGACTTGAAATTTGCCAAAAGGAAGTAACGTCGCTAATTCTACAATCTAAAGAAGCTGAAAAGCTATATGAAGAAGATTTTATTTCGTCTGAGCCTTATAGAGATAAATATTTTGAACTGTGTTCTCAAATCGAAAAGCTGTCGAAGAATCCTTTACCTACTGAATTACCAGAGAAGCGCAAATTTAAACTGCCGAAGATCGAACTAAAGAAATTCAACGGCGAAGCGAAGCAAAAGAATTTTTGACGTTTTGGAGCCAGTTTTCGAAGATCCATGAAGATCCGACGATTCCAGATGAAGATAAATTCCAGTACCTCCTGCAAGCAGTTGTTCCTCAGTCCAAAGCCGCACGGGTAGTGGAGAGCTTTCCGGCAACGGCGTCGAATTATCCGAAAGCAATCGCCCAGCTTCGAGAGAGGTTTGGAAGAGAAGACTTACTTGTACAGATATACGTCAGAGATCTTCTAAGCATGGTTATGCGTAATGCAAGCAGTGGACGTGTGAAGACGGATCTTCCCACTCTCTACGATGATTTAGAAACCAAGATTAGAGCTTTAGAAAGTCTTGGAAGAACGCAAGAGAAGTATGGTGATTTCTTAACGCCTTTAGTTGAATCCTGCCTGCCCGAAGAAGTATTAATTGCTTGGGAGAGAAACAGAAATTTAAAAGAAGCACCTCAGCCTGATGACCGATGCCTTGAAAATTTGATGAATTTTCTGAAACAAGAAGTGAAAGGAGAAGAGAATGGTCGTGTTAGCCCGCACTGGGTTTTGGTTCTAATCATATTTCTAAGAAAAAGGATACACTAAATAAAAATTTAGATTTCGCCACCGCAGCTGCGTTAGTAAGTACATCAAATTCTGAGAGCCCAGGTAAGCGCAATTTTAACTGTCTCTTTTGTGAAAAACGGCACCCAACTAAAGAATGTTTTTCTGCTAGAAATATGACATTAGAAGCTAAGAAAAATATATTAATTAAAAGAAAGGGGCCTGTTTTGGATGTTTCAGATTGGAACACACTTGTAAAACATGTCGAGTAAAAAATTCCTGCATGTACTGTAATAAGAATCACCATTCTTTAATGTGTCCCAATCGCCAAGAAAAAAGCGCAAATGAAAAGTCTAAAAGGGACGTAACTGAAACCAGTACATTAACTAATAACTGTAAAATAGAAAATGTTTATTTAATGACTCTAATAGTTAAAATTAAATTTAAGAATGTTGAGCTTAAAGTACGCACATTACTGGATACAGGTTCTCAGCATTCGTTTGTCAGTAAAAAATTAGTAGAGAATTTAAATTTAAAACCATTAAGGCAAATTAAATTGAAGCATTCGTTATTCGGTGGAAGAGAAAAACGCGAACGCAGATTCACGATGTTTATAATTTGTTGATTTCGGCATTAGATGAAACTTTCTCCTTTCAAATCGAAGCACTTTCCGAGAGCAAAATTTGTGGCACAGTGCCAAAAGTGAACGATAGTAAAATTCTTATTAATGAACTGAAAGATAGAGGCGTCAGTTTGTCTGATTTGGGTTCTTCTGATCGTGAGATCGGTCTGCTTTTGGGAGCAGATATTGTGGGCAGCTTTATTTACTAATAAATCTGTTCGGTTGGAGTCAGGGTTATTTTTGATTGACACTTGTTTGGGACATGTGTTAACTGGGAAGCATGAGTCATTTGGAGATAGCAATGATGATACTGTTTTGAATGCAATTTCGTTGTATGTTAGTAATTATTCGATAAAAGATTTGTGGTCTTTAGAATCCATAGGTATTTCAGATCCCATTGAAAATAATAGAAAGAATTTAGAACATTCTAGAGTTTTGGAAGAGTTTAAAAATAATGTGAAAATTCTTTCAGACGGTAGATATGAACTT